CTTGGGCCCGCACCGCGCCCCCAGCCAGCCCCGCCTTGTTGCTGTAGAAGGTGCTGCCAAGGATCGTGATCTCGCTGCCGTTCTGTAGGGAAGGACAGGGGCGGGGCAGAGAGGGGCTTAATACCAGAGGGCAACTCAACACCTCCTGATGCTCTGCTCTGATCCTCCTAGCTCGGGCAGCGTGCGCCGTGCAGCGAGCAGCTCCGGCGCCTTCCGCGGCGCTGCCGCGCTCACCGCCACGTCCACCGCGCCGCCGCTGCGCCCCCAGTTGCGCTCAAAGGCGCAGTTGGTGAGGCTGAGGCTGGCGCCGCCCTCCAGCAGGATGCCGCCGCCGGCTGCAGGCGGGCGGCGCACAGGCGGGGGAGAGGGCAGGACAGCAGCATGGATGGCAGGAAGTCAGCGGTGGGAGGCAGGGTGGTTGGGAGTGGGGAAGCTGAGGGGACGAAGGAGAGGCGTGGAAAGGGCCACGGCCCGCCAGCCACAGCCTGCCAGCTCAGTGCGCGCCAGCTCAGCGCCAGCTCACACTCGTCCCGCGAGTTGCCGTTGACGATGCGGATGTTGGCCAGCGTCAGCTTGACCCAGGGCCCCGCGCCGTGGAACACCCGCCCCAGCTGCTTGGCATCCAGAATGCACAGCCCGCCCAGCGTGGTGCACGCGCCCTGCAGGGCAGGGGCGGGGCCGGGTTGGGCCGGGGCAGCAGCGCTGGGGTGCCAGCGCAGCCTGCAGAGTCGCACCCGCGCAGCACAACAGCCGCTCGCTGCCCCTGGGCTGGCACGTATGGAGGGCGGTCGCCCCAGCCTTCGATTATTTGTCGTCCCAGCTGTGGCGAGTGTCCCCACAGCACCAGCCAGCCGGCTGGCCAGGCAGGCAGTGCAGGCCAAGCTCACCGTGATGGTGGTTGGCACCAGCAGGTCTGGCAGCAGGTTGGTGCCGTTGATGAAGCGCCCCGTCAGCACGATGTGCCCCTGCAGCACAATGTTGCTCTGCCGCCCAAGGATGGCCGCCGCCAGCTGGGCCTCGTCGGCAACTGCCTCAGAGGGCGGGGCCGGCGGGGAGGGCGGCGGCTTGGGCGCGGGCGGCTTGGGGGCGGGGTGGGGAGGGGTGGGCGGCGCGGGGGGCGGCGACGGTGGCGGGGGCCTGGCGACGCGCACACGGGGGCAAGGGCAGGGCGGGAGGTTGGGCAGTGCCGAGGGGCAGGCACAGCAGGCAGTGGCAGCAGCAGCAGCAGCAGCGGGCAGGGCGCAAGGCCAGGCAGCTGCTGCGCTCTGCGCTCACGCTGGGTTGGGGAAGGGCGGCGGGGTGGGAGGGGAGGGGGGCTGGGAGTAGAAATTGGCGGCCTCGGCGGGCTCGATGCCGGCCTTGGTGTTTGGCGGGCTGATGTACAGGCGGGACAGGGTGGAGTACCGCAGGTAGATGTCGGGACCCCACCCGTACTGCAGGCAGTACAGGCAGGCACACACACCACAGATCAGGTCAGCGGGGGCCAGGTCGGCGGCAGGGGCAATTGCAACCCAACAAATAAACTCAGGCTGGCTGGCTGCAGTCCCACGCTGCCTGGACCCAAGCGCAGCCACCGGGCGTGCCCAGTGCAGCGCCGGCCCTGCTGCCGCCGCTCCCACGCAGCGTGGCGTCGGCTGGGCTCACCCCAGCCTCGCTCTGCGTGAAGGTGCAGTCCTCCACAGTCATAGTGTCTGAGCCGTCCATGGAGATGGCGGCGCCGCCCTGGCCTGCAGGCACAGGCGCAGCAAGCCGGGCAGCAGGGTGACGACAGCTGAGGTCAGCTGAACACAGCCAGGCCAGCGGCGCAGGCGACACGGTCAGGCGAACCCGGCGCCGGCAGCCAGCCACACCAGGCAGCCAACCAGCCGGGCCAGCGGCATCCAGCCAGCAGGACGCCATGGCCGGCCAGCCGGCGGCGCTCACCCGCAGAGTTGCCGATGAAGGCACAGCGCCTGGCCTCGCCGACGCCGCCGCCCACTGAGATGGCGCCGCCCACGTTCTGCGCGCTGTTCTCCACAAAGTCGCAGTCGGTGAAGTTGGCGGAGCCGCCTGCACGCGGTACAGCGCAGTACACAGTACAGTACACAGTACAGCGAAGCGCATGGCACGCTCGGGGCGTCAGCGGCGGCACGGCCACAGGGCCGGAGGTCAGGCAGGCAACAGCCGGCACAGCGCGTGCCGCAAAGCGCGGGAGCACGTCCCGCCTGGGCGCCCTCGCGGCGCGCTGCACCGCGCCGCGCTGCGTCACAGCACCCTGCACCCGTGCCTGGCGGCCCGCCTGCCGTGGGCACCCACCAGAGTAGATGGCCACGGCGCCTCCCTGGCCCGCGTTGTTGCCGGTGAACTTGCAGGTGGAGAAGAGCGCCTTGCCCAGCTGGAACACCTCAACTGCGCCACGGGGGCGGCGTGCGGGCGGCAAGGCGGGCAGCAGGCAGGTTGGCACCCACAGGCCGGCATAAACCCTGCCCCGTGCACTCCAACCCCACAGCGGTCCGTTGCGGGGACCCCATCCAGCCCAGCCTTGCACCCATCCCGCCCAGGCGCCATGCCGCACACACAGTCACCTCGGCCGCCAAGCCCGCCCACCTGCTCCTCCAAACACGCCCTTGGCGGCCGAGTTGTGCTCCCCGTTTGCAAACTCCAGGTTCCTGACGTCGGCAAAGGCGTAGAAGCCCGAGACGCGCATGAGCTGCGTGGCGCCGCCGCCGTCGACCTTGCAGGCGCGGCCGCCCTCGCAGGCGCCCTGGATCAGCATAGTGTTGTTGACCAGCAGCGTCTGGTCGGCGGCCAGCGTGATGTCGGCCTCCACGGAGATGGAGGAGCAGGGGGAGGTGCAGTTGCGGGCGTTGGCGACGGCCAACACGGCGAGGAAAGCGTCGGAGGAGGCGACGGAGTAAAACTGCATGGTGTTGTCGACGGAAGAAGGGTCCAGGATGACCATGCCTGGTGGCGCGGGAGGCGAGGCCGGCGGCGGGCTCTCCGCCTGCGCAAAGCCGCCGCCGAAGACGGAGCCGGCGAGGCCGCCCGACAGGCCGCCCGCCTGCAGTGCGCTGCCGGTGGTGGCGGCGGAATCCCCGGAGGCGGCGGCGTCCCCGCCGGCGCCCGCCGCGGCGTCCACGGGCGTGGCGGAGGTGGCCACGGGCGTGACTACTGTGGCCGTGATGCTAGAGTCTTTCTTGCTGGCGGATGCAAGCAAGTCTGCGACGTTGACGGCTGCAAGGCGGCGGTGGCGGGAGGCGGCAGGGGCGGGGGCAGTTGGGTCGGTTGCTCAGGGCGCGGCGCAGGCGACGGCGGGCACCGAGTTTTCCACAGATCGACTGCCAGGGGCTGCGGGCAGTCAGCGGCGGGCGTCCGAGGCAGCGTGGGGCTCACCGGTTGCCGGCGAGGGCAGCAGGGCGAGGCAGGCCAGCGCCAGGGCGGCCAGGGCGCAGCCTCCAGGCTGTCCTCGTCTTCTGCTGCGCTGCTGCATGCTGCCGGGCCGCTGCGGCGCCTGCCCGCGGCGGGCCAATGCAACTGCTGGGGCTGTCGTGGGCTGTCTGTTCAGGCCCCACAGGCAGCCATGGCCAGCAAGTTCGAATGCTTGGATGTGTCGCGATGGCTGCGGGGGTGGGCAGGGCCAGGAAGGGGAGCATCCCTGCCAGCTCATCAGTCGTTAGGCAGGAAGAAGGGCGGCTGCCCTGGTCCCCGGCCCATCGCCCCCGCTCGTCCTGTTCTCAAGCCTGGCATAGGCTTCAGGGGTTTGTGGGCGCGGCAGCACCTTCCTCCCAACCACCCGCGTTTGGGGTGTGCCCGTGTGTACCCTGCAGCCAGCCCGGTGGACAGCCCACTAACAGAAGCCTCCTCTGGCATTCGGAGGAGAGCCCGGCAGCTGCTGCACACAGCTGCGCTCAGCGGCCACCAGCTGTTGGCCGGCAGGCGCCTGGCGCGGCCATGAGCTCCTATGCGCCGAGTATCATGCCCACCCGGGCACTGACTGACCCATCGCTGTCCGATGACGGTGAGCGGCTGGGCAGGAGGCGGCCAGGGAGCCAGGCAGCAGTTGCAGCATGGCTGGTGGTTGGGGCTGGCCGGCTAGGGTCAGGGCCGCCCGGCTCGCCCCCCACGCGCCGCTGCCCGATTGCGGCACCCCAGCAGGATCGCTGGCAGCCCCTTGAACGCAGCGGCGCCGCTGCATGGCTCCCCACATGACACAGCCGCTGCTGCCGCCCCGCCGCTCACCGCGCCGCGCCTGTGTCCGCTCCGGCCCCGCCCGTAGAGGACAAGCTGGAGGACGTGCTGGTCACGCCCGACTTCGATGTGCAGCCCACGCTACAGACCGAGTACTATGCGCACCTGGACCAGCGCCTGGGCGAGCTGCAAAACCTGCTGGGCGCGCAGGGCGCCGCGCTGCCGTCCACGTACGAAAAGTACCTGCACGGCAACGTGCCCGCGGGCGCCACGGGCAACCCGCTGGTGTCGGCCAAGGAGTACTACGAGCAGCTGAAGCAGCTGCGCGCCGACAGCCAGGTGCGGCGTGGGGCGCCACGGCGCGCGTGGGCGCCGCCACCCGCGTGGCAGGCCGCGAGGCCGGCGGGGGACGCTGCGGTGCAGCGGCTGCTGCTCTCCCGCCTTCTCACCGCTCCCGCGCTCTTCGCCTCCACTCGCCCCTCCTCCACTCGTCCTCCCATATACCCTCCTCCCCTCCTGCCTCCCCGCCTCCCCCTGCCTCAGGTCTACTACCCCGTGGCCCCGGAGGTGTACCGCGACCTGCTGTGGGAGGACGTGGATGTGGCGGACCCTGTGGAGTACACCTTCTGCCGCTACACGCCCATCACCACAGAGGTGCGCCGCCATAAAACTGTAAAATTGTTTTACTTGGCATGCCGTGGGGCTCCCGGCGCACCCCAGCGCCTGGCGCAGCCGGCGCCAGAGCTCGACAGGGCGCTCCCCGGCCCCGCCGTGCGCCGCTGCCTCGCCGACATCGCCGCTTCCCGCCGCCGCCTGCCGTCCCTCGCCTGCCCACCTCGCCCGCGTGCTTCTCGCCCGCTCCCCCTTTCAGGACGCGCGCGACTTTGGCAGCGACGGCTACAGCCTGCGCGTGCAGCACAAGTTCAGCCGCCACATCAAGCTGCTCATCTGCGTCACCCTCTACAACGAGGACCAGGAGACGCTGGGCAAGACGCTGCTGGGAATATGCGAGGTGGGGCGGAGGCCCGGCGGTGGTTGGGAGGTGGTTAGACGGCACGAGTGGCTGCGTATACCTAGCTTGCTGGCTGGTTGCCTGCACCCCTCCCTTGCTTCCTCGTGTCAACCGCTTGCACTCCTGCCCAGCCAATCCCCCTGCCCCTGAACCCTGTACCGCCCCTGTACCGCAGAACCTAGAGGTGCTGTACCGCCAGTACGGCCGCGACGGCAACAAGCACGGCCTGGACTGGCAGGAGGTGGCGGTGGCCATCATCCAAGACGGCGTGGGCCACTGCGACTCCTCCGTGCTGGCCGGCTCCACCGTGACGGTGAGGGGCGGCGGGGCCGGCAGCCCTTCGGCATGCTGTTCCCTGCTCGCGCATGGCCCCCGCCCATGGCCCTGCCGTGCATTCGCATCCGTTGCCTGGCTTCCCAGGTTTCTGAGCCGGGTCTGGCCCTTGTTTTCTGCCGCCTGCCTCCCCGTGCAGGGCTTCTACTCTGAGAACCTGCAGCAGGAGCAGGCGGTGGGCCTGCCAGTGTCCATGCACATGTTCGAGTACACCGCCAGGTGCAGCGCCTGCCCCCACCCCGCCTTCCCCTGCTGCCTGTGCCCTGCTGCCTGGCTGGCTGGCTGGCGCATGCAGCCGCAGGCCACGCTCGCCCCTCGCCTGCCGGGCAGCCAGCTCACAAGCCTGCCCCTGCGATGCGTGTCCATCATGCTGAGCCAGCCTGCCTTGCCGCGGTCCCGCCCTGCCGCAGGTACAAGAAGCACGCGGGCCTGGACTGCTACCCGCCGCTGCAAATCATGTTCACCACCAAGACCACCAACCGGGGCAAGCTGGACTCGCACTGCTGGTTCTTTGACGGCTTCGCCTACCTGCTGCAGCCAGACTACTGCGTGCTGTTTGATGCGGGTGAGCGGCGGGGCGCGGCGGGGAGAGGCGGCGAGGGGAGCCAGGGATCCTGCGGGCTCAAGAGGAATGCTGAAGGGAAGGCTGCCGCCCTGCGCTGCGCTGCGCTGCTCCCAGCAGTGTCCCCACCAACCCATCGCTGCCCCCTGCCGCCGCCTTGCCGCAGGCACCAAGCCCATGCCCTTTGCGCTGCGCAACACGTACGCCCACTTCAAGCGCAACCCCTGGTGCGGCGGGCTGACGGGGGAGCTGCGGGTGGAGCGGCCGTACCGCAACTTCCTCACCAGTGTGCAGTACATGGAGTGGAAGGTGAGCGATACATGGTGGTGCACGGCCCAGCGCTGCCTGCCTCCCTGGCGCTGCCTGTCGCGGGGCTGCTGGCTGGGGCGCCTGTGCCGCAGCAGCGCCTTTTTCCAGGCTTGCATGCCCGCCATGGCGCTGTACTTGTGCAGCACACCTCAGGCACGCCTCAGTCCACTGGTAGCTGAGTTCCAGCCTGCCGCGCCACCGCTTGCTCCCCGCAGGTGTCCCATCTGCTGAACAAGCCCATCGAGTCCATCTGCGGCTACCTCACAGTGCTGCCCGGTGCCTTCTCCGCCTTCCGCTGGGCCGCGGTGGAGGTGCGACGCCGGCCCGCTGCAGCGCCCCGGCCTGCCTGCCCCCACCCTCGCCGTCTGGCTTGCCAGCCTGGCCCGGCGCCTGGCACCAGGCACCTGTGATGCTCATGCCCGCCGCCGCTCCCTTGCCTGCCCTCCCGCCTGCCCCTGCCGCCGCAGGGCGAGCCGCTGCGCCGCTACTTCTACGGCCTCTACTCCCAGAACGACCTTTCCGCCTTTGAGGCCAACATGTACCTGGCGGAGGATCGCGTGCTGTGCCTGGAGATTGTGGCGCGCAAGAACAGCAAGTACTAGTGAGTGCGGCGCGTGGCAGGCTGGCTGGCTGGTGCCGCCACGCACGTGCACGCACCCTCGCCTTCGGCTTGCAGCGGGCCATACCGGCTGCCGGTCTGCCCCCCTTTCAGCACTGATCCTTCCTGTCCTTCCCTCCTCCTGACCCTGCCCCCCGCCTCCTGCAGCCTGGAATACATCAAGGAGGCGGTGGCCGAGGCGGATCCCGTGACGGGCTTTGCGGGCCTGATCAAGCAGCGCCGTCGCTGGCTCAACGGTACCTTCTTTGCCATGATCTACACACTCTCCAACTGGTCCCGCATCTGGAGCGAGAGCCACCACAGGTGGGGGGGCGTCGGGCTGGGCGCCGCTGGAGCTGGGCTGCTGCCTGCTTGCGCCGACCAGCCGGCCCGCGCGGCTGCCCGCTGCCGGCCACTGTGCAGCAGCGGCGGCTGCCCGGCCAGCCCCTCACCCAGCTGCCCTCGTGCTTACCTCACCGCTGGCCCCCGTGCCCCCCTGCTCCTGCCCCTTGCCGCCCTCCACCGACCGCAGCTTCCTGCGCAAGGCGGTACTGTCGCTGGAGTTTGTGTACCTGATGATCATGACCTTTGCCGGTACCTGGTTCGGCATCGGTGTGTTCTACACCATCCTGTACCAGCTCTTCATGGCACTCTTCAACGGCTCCGCCACGCTGGAAAACGTGAGGCTGCCTGGGCTGCCGCCGAGCCGAGCCGCCGCAGGCTGGGCGGACCGGCCAGCTCTCTGGCCAGACGCGCAGCTCGTCGACGCCTGCTGTGCCGACCCCTTGCGCTCTGCCTCCCTGCCCCCTGCTGCTGCAGATTGGCAGCATCCTATCCATGGTCTACCTCTTCCTCATCATCGTGGAAGTCATCGTCAACCTCAAAAACAAGCCAGAGGCGGTGGAAAAGGTGCGCGCGCATTGCGCCGCGCCCTGCTTGTGTGCAGCTGCCAGCCTGACGCCCTGCCTGTCCCACTGTGCATATGCAGACACGCTCACTCTGCCCTGCCGCTGCCCCTATTCTAAATGCTCCTCCAGGTCCACCTCTTCTGCGCCGTCTACTTCATGCTCTACATGGCCGCCTTCACAGGCATCACCATCTGGTGAGAGCACCCGCCCAGCTGGCAGCCCTGCCTGCTTGCACCTTGCTGGGCAGCGCCAGCAGCGGTGGTCCCCCACCCCCGCCTGTGCCTGCTGATGCCGCACTCGCTCGCCGCATCTCCCACCCACGCATGCATGCTCACCCAGCCTGGCCATGCCACCTATCCCTCCCCCTCCTCCTGCGCCCCCCCTGCAGGTACATGGTCGACTACTCCCTGAGCGAGATCTTTGGCTCCGTGGCGCGCCTGGGCGTGATCCTGTCGCTGGGATCCATGCTGGTCACCGGCTTCCTCCACGGCGACATGATGGCGTTTGCGGGGGCGGGCCTGCAGTACTGGTTCATGCAGCCCATCTTCTGGAACATCCTCCAGGTGGGCTGGGGCAGGGGGGAGGGAGGAGCACCCCAGCATGGGTATGCCGTGCGTGGCTTGGCGCTGCGCCCGCTCAGCTTCCAGCGCACCGGCACGTGCCCCTGCCCCTTGCGTTGCTTGCCTGCCCCACCCATCTCACTCCATCCCACCACGCGCTGCCCCTGCCCGGCACGCCCGCCCATGCAGGTCAATGCCTTCTGCAACACCGACGACATCACCTGGGGTACCAAGAACCTGGACACCAAGCGCGACACCACTGAGGCCAAGGGGCTCATGAAGAGCGGGCTGGTGTACAACGCAAACCAGGCACGCGCCCTGGGGCCGCGCCTGGCGGCGGCGGCACAGCGCGGGCCCGGTCGCAGGGCGCAGCAGCGGCTGGCGGCCTTCTTCGGTCGTGCATGCATGCATACATCCCGTGGCTCACGTGCCTGCCTGCCTGCACCCCGCCTGCCTGCCTCCACCGCCGCCTCCCCCCGCAGACCAAGGAGAGCAAGTCTTTCTGGAAGGCGATGATGAAGGTGCACGAGAAGCTGACCGACATCAACCAGATCAAGGCGCACAACCAGATCAAGGAGACCAAGCTCAAGGTGGGGGCAGGCGGGGCTGGGAGCGGGCAGGGCTGGTGGAAGCCCAGCCAGCTTGCTTGCTTGCTGCTGATGCTGGCGTGGCTGGCAACCTGCTGGCACGCCCCAAGGGCATGCTGCGCTGCACAGCAGCCCACGCCGCCTCCCCCCCGCTCCACCCCACTCCCCTCCCCCGCAGGCCTTTGCCACCTACCTGCTCATCGCCTGGCTCACCTCCAACATCATCTTCGCCCAGGTCGTCAACATCGTGTCGGCGCTGGAGTGGGAGGTGAGGCGAGGGGCAGCGCTGGTGCTGGTGCTGGTGCTCCTCTTGCCCTTGTGACTTGGCCTTGTGCGCGGCGCAGGCGTAGGCGCTGCTGAGCCGCCATCTCGGCTGTTAGCGCGACCAGGCCGCCTGCCTGCCCACCCCCCCCCCTGCCTGCCGCCTGCAGGTGTGCTCCGAGGCGCCCAGCGCGCAGTACGGCAACATCGTGGCGGACAAGGTCAACCAGGACGCGGAGCTGGCGCAGGCGGTGGGCCAGATTGTGTACTCGGCGCAGGCCATGGTGGAGAAGGGCGGCCCGCAGTACCCCTTCGGTGGCCTGCCCAACTTCCCCGAGGCCTACCCCATCCTGCTCAGCGGCAATGCCCAGTCCAACACCAGCGTGGGCGAGAGCGTGACGGGTGCGGCGCCGCGCCTCCCGCCCCCTGCTGGTTCGCTGCGCCTCTGGCTCGCTGGCCGGCTGGCAGCTCTCCATAACCCCACCCTGCGCATAGCGCGCCCTGTAGCCCTCGTGTCTCACCGTGCCAGGCAAACTGCCTGCCCCTCCCGCATTGCCTCGCCGCAGTGCTGGCCGAGAGCGGCGAGGTGTTCAGCTCCCTGCCCTCCGCGCTGCCCACCTTTGACCAGTGGCTCAACTACTCGGCAGGCATCAACATCAACAAGACAATCGAGGTGGGCGGGGTCGGACGCTGCTGTGGCTGGCAGGAGGCACCCGTTCACGCGCCCTCTGCTGTCTGTATTGCTGTGGGAGCTGTGGCTGGCTGGCCTGCCTGCCGCCCTCCCTGGCTGGCCGGCGCCCCACTCTGGCTGCGCCGCCCCTGCCTGCCCGCCCGCAGAGCCTGAGCATGCTGAAGCTGCCGCCGGCAGTGAACGAGACGGAGGTGGGCGCCCGCACAGCTTCCCTGCTGTGGCATGCGCCTGGGCCTGCCTGCCCACCTTGCCGCATCCTGGCAGCGCACACGGCAGCGCTCCCGACCTGCCCAGCCCCTGCCGCGCCAGCCGCGTCGCCTGCCCCTCAGCCCACCAACCCCTGTACTGCCCCCTCCTGTACTGCCTGCAGGGCGAGGTGTCGTGCACCACCGAGTACGGGCGCACCTACTACCTCACCATCCAGTTCACCTTCCTGGCCTTCCTCACCGGCATGCAGGTGCGCGCCCTGAGGGCTGCACTGGGCCGGCGCGGCGCTGAGTGGCAGCTTGGGAGGGGCAGGCCGCGCGCAGGGTGCAGCTGGGTGATGCCGGGGAAGGGAGCGGGAGCTGTGAAACGCTGAGCTCGCCGCCCCCTGGCATCCCCCCTGCCCACCCCACCCTCCTGCCTGCAGGTGTTTGGCTCCCTCATCTTCATCGTCATGTACTACTGGCGCCGCATCTCCTGGCGCCTTCGCAACCGCAAGGGCAAGCAGCGCATCGCGCGGGCCGCCCGCGACGCGTTGTCGCTCAAGAAGAAGAACAGCGACACATACGACATCCACGTCACCGCCTCCGCAGGCACTTCCATCACGGACAGGGTGAGGGGAGTGGGTGGAGGGAGGGAGGGAGATTGAGAGGCAGCACGCAGCCCCCAGCCCTTTCTGTGCCGCCGGCGTACCAGCGCGCACCTGGCCTGCCCTCACCCCTGCCCCGCTGCTCCCTCCCTCCCTCCTGCCCCGCCCCCTGCAGCTGGGAGCGGGCGTGGACCCTGCCTGGGGCGCGCAGCGCTCCGCGCGCACCGCCGCCACCGAGGACGACGCCTCCGCCTCCGACCTGGGCTCTGATGAGTACAGCCCGCGCAGCAGCAACGCCTCGCCCTCGGCGCGCAGGTGGGTTCCTGCCCGGGGCAGGGCTGGGAGGGGGTGCGAGAGGACCCGCGGGGTGTGTGTATTGCGGGGGCCTGTAATGGCTGGCGGAGCTGGGAATCCCCTTCTGCGACTCCCGACAAGGGGTGGGAAGAATCGTGGTGGCAAGAAGCGGGGGCTGACCCTCGTGCCCGCTCCCCTCCCGCCTGCCATGCAGCATCCAGCGCCACGGCAGCCGCCGCATCTCGCTCTGAGCCGGCAGCCCCTAGCGGCCGCGCCGCCCCAGCGAGCCGACGTCTAGCCCCCTCATGCGCCGCGACCGGCAGCGACCACAGCTGGCGCCTCCCCCAATCCTGACGCACTCAATCATTTTCCATCTTTCCGCTCGACTCGTCCCACTTCAGCCCTTTGTCTGTGCGCTCTTGTCTGTTCTATTCGACACGCCTTGAGACACAGGCCTTAGGTAGGGCAGCACATGCCCCCATTGTTGTCCCAGCGAAACGGAGTGACCTGTTGTTCCCTTGCCACACCTCTTCCAGCTGGCAGCACCACAAACTATATTTTTTCCTGCCAGGCCCCTGCCACTCCTGAGTCATTAATGGGCAGCGCGCCGCCCAATTAATTGTGTTGCCCTGGCTTCGGTGTAATTCTGCTGTCACTCATGTTGCCGAGCAGGAGGATGCAGCAGGCCGGGCTCTCAGAACGATCCCTTCTGGGCGGTGGAAGGTTGGTGCAGTTGGCTAGGACGCGGGAGATAGTGCCAAAGGAAGAGAATGCTGCGCAGCAGCAGTTCTGCTGCCCTGCTGTGGTAGGTGATGATGATAGCCAGTCCAGCATGCATGCACCGTACTGTCGCATCTTATGCATACCCTGTTCACCACCACCGCTCAGTACTGCTCAACATGAATTGATGCACTAGCTAGGTAGAGAATGGATTACAGATCACAGATCAAACTGATGGCCTGACAAAACGGGCACGGGCAGAAGCACACAGGCAGAGGTGGTATGGGACAGCGGATGGGTAGAAAAAAGGTCAAAATGGAAGGGAACGCACAGCTGCTCATCCAGGGCTGCAGACATGCCGCGCATTGGATGGCCCCCTCAATGTTTCAGAGAAGCGGTGCGCGGGTGGTTCAGCCTGAGGCGAAGCACTCGCCCTGGATACACTCTGCAGCAGGAGGGGAGGCGGAGAGGCACCCGCACGGTTGGGGTCCTGGCGGGGCAGCACTGGGGGGGTAGCAACGACGCATGGCAACAGCGAGTGGTTTGGCAGGGCGGCAGCACTCACTGGCGTTGGGGAACTTGCCCTTCTGGGTGCAGTCGTGGCCGCACCTGCAGCGGGCGGGAGCAAGGCGGCAAGTGGTGGGCCATGCGGCCCAGGCGCAACTTGGGCTGCTCGCGGTGCATGCACGATTTGGTAATCGGCGCTCACCACTCGCAGTTCAGAGGATCGATCATCTTGTTGGTGCACTTGTAGGAGCACATGTTCGGCTTCTGGGGGGGGCAAACGCAGCCGCCGCCCTTGCAGATGGTGCCTGCAAGTAGGGCCGCAACGGGGCGGGGCATCATGCGCGTTAGAGGCCCGGGGGCAAGCAAGGGCACTGCCTGCCATGGACGTGGACCAGGTTCCCCCCCACCAGCGGACCACAAGCACAAATCACTCCAACCCGGCGGCCTCAGCTGAGACCACAGGCGCGCCCTTCTCCCGCCACTCACCGCCAGAGCACTTGGTGTCGCAGTTGCCACAGTACTTGCTGTCAGTCATGACATTGCGGCACTGCAGGCAAGGAGAGAAGATGTGTCAGCTGAGGCTGAGCATGCGGCAAGTGGGCACGCCCGCCCAGCCGGGGCGATGGCAGGACGCCTTCCGCCCGCACCTTGCCGGCGCAGCGGCGGGAGTAGGGGCCGCAGGCATCGTCGCCGCCAACGCAGGCCCCCTTGACGCACTTGCCACCTGCAAACGCAAGGCAGCAAGAGCCCAGCGCTTGGTGAGAGAGCCGGGAGGGGCAGGGGAGCTGGTGCCGGCACCGCCAGCTCAGCACGGCGGGCCAGGGCCAGCTGTCGGCGGTCCTACTTGGGCAGATGTTGCCGCAGTAGCCACAGTTGAAGGGGTCGGTCTGGACGCTGATGCAGGTGTCAGTGCAAAGCTGGGGCCTCCAGGGCGGGCAGGAGCAGCCGGCATTGATGCAGGCAAAGGTCTTCTTGCACTTCTCGTTGCATGCGCCGCAGTTCTTAGGGTCCTTCTTGAAGTTCACGCACTGCAGGGCGGCAACGGGGGATGCAGGTTGAAGACAAGATGGGGCGGCAACGAGGGCAAGCGGCTCAGGGGAATGCACAAGGGGCGGGCCGAGCGACACATCAGCGGCGCCCTGCGTACCTTCTTGCCGCACTTCAGCTGGGTCTGGGGGTTGCAAGCGGCCAGCATGTCACGGCCGCTGCAGCAAGGAGGGCAGGGCTCCAGCCAGGTGAGATGCGTGAGGCAGCTGCTGGGCGGGACTCTGCTGCCTCGGGCGGCGCCGGCTGGCGGGCTGAACCCTACTACCCGCCCAACACGCCCCTGGGGTGAGCAATTGAGCGGCGATGAGTGCATCGGGGCAGGCTGGGAAGGCCGCAGCAGCCTGCTCTACTCACAAGTGGGCCTCGGCACAAACTGCCAGGCAGAGCAGGATGGCGACAGCCACCGGGAAGGGCTTCATCATGGCCTGCAAGGTGCAAGCGGGCGTCACCAGGAGGTCTGCGGGAGCCCCCACAGCGCCCAAAGACGTTTGGTGGGATGGTTTGGGGCAGCTTCGGGCAGTTGTGGAGAGGGACAGGGGGGCTGCGGAGCGGCTGCTTTCGGCATTTGCAGCGCGGCAGAGTGCCTGAATCGCCATGCATGAGTGTCGGGGCTGGCCGGCAGAGGAGCAGCAGGCGTGAGTGGGAGGTTGGGGCCTGAGTGATGGGCGGCCAGCCTCAGGGATGGGCTGCCTGAGGTGCTCACCTGGTGCAGGGTATCGGACGGCAGAGTAAATGGACGGAATGACAGGCATTGGGGCCTGGCGGGTGGATTTGAGCGATGGTTGCCCCGCACTACACTTGTACCTTGGGGCGCATTTTGCGCACGCGATGCCCACGCGCCAGGAGAGGGCGTGGTGGGTGTCGGGAGTCCACTCAGGACGTTTTGGGCTGTGCAGCGGGCCTCCCGCGCACGTGGTAGGATCCCGCCCTAACCGACACCCGCCGCCGCCGTCCCCGCCTTTCGTCAATGGCAGCGTTCCCATAGCGAGTCTACCACCACTTCCTGAGGGCAGACTGATGCAAGATAAGATTCGCTGCTGTTGCGGTCCCTTCGGCAGGTCTCTGCCGTGCGGTCACCTAGGGAACTGCGCCGTGCGGCACCGCGCAGCCAGAGACAGGTGGCGCCAGGTCGGGTTGCACCGCCTGCCGCCCGGCCCCCCAGCCGTGCCAGTTCCTTGTGCTGTTACACTGCAAAACTGTTGCGAAAGGCGCTAAGCAGGCCGGGTGCGGGAAAAACGTGATGCGTGCTGCGGGCACACAGCACAGGCATGGTACAGGCGCGCTTGGGTTGGTTGCCCAGCAGCAGCGAGATACAAGGGCAGAGTGGTCACAGAGGGGAGAGGCTGTGCATCTGAGCAACCGAGGCAGCGTGCAATGTGGCAGCTGGCAACCAGAGGAAACTGAGCGGCAAAGGAAGGAAAACCGCAAGCGGAAAGAGCGGCAGGAGGAAAACTAGAGGGGCTGCACTAAAATTGACAGAAACGACGGGCACGGAGGGATGTGCCGCTGCAAAAGGCGGCCTGGAACACGAGCAAGCGCAGCAAAACAACAAGTGGTGGTGCCAGCCTGTCAGCGGCATAGAGCGGGCAACAGCGTATTCATTAGCAGAACGCTACGAGGGTGAATGTGCAGTGGGTGGCAGTGTACAATGAAGAGGGGCAACAGAAGCCCGGCAGCAGGTCAGCACCGCAGGCATTGAACCGTGGAGCGGGCACGGGGCACATGAGGTGGTTGGGAGGTGGGCAGCGCACAGCCACAGCCAGCGGCTGGACCCACGCAAAAACCGCTGGTGGCATGTGCCAGCCTGTCGGCCGGCCAGCTCACTGCACGCGCGCCAGGTGGGGGCTGTCGGCTAGCGCCTGCCAGAGCTGGTCGGGAGGCAGGCTGAGCAGGCCCAGCACGCCTGGCGCCAGGTCAGCGCTGAACCCCCAGGCGCCAGCACGCAGCTCGCCTGCAGGCAGGGCGTCAAGGGGGTGCCAGTCGGGGCCGGAACGGCGGCATGCACAGGTGCGGCCCAGCACAGCAGACAGCAGGCTCTGGGCGCCCAGCGCTAGAGATGGGAGCTGCTGACGATCAGCTGCCGAGCCCGGCCGGGAAGCAGGGCCAGCAGCGACGGCAGATCCCCCCCCAGCACACCCATACACACACCTTCCAGCTGCCCCTCAGCCCAGGCGCAGACGCCGTGGAAGAGCAGCACGGGAGGCACGCCATCGCCCGCAGCCACCGCCACGGCTGCGGCCTCGTGATCCCGCCGCAGGCGGCCGCCGCGGCACGAGTGCGCGCGTGCTGCGGCGGCCGCCGCCGCCGTGGCGTCTGCTGCCTGCTCCAGAATCTCGCTCATGCTCCCGCCCTCGTAGAGGGGGAAGGCAGCGGCAGGCACGGCGCCGGCTTCGCCTCTGTCACCATCGCCGCCAGCGGCGTGGCCTGCGGCACCGCTCCCGGCGCCAGCCGCCGCCAGCTGGCTGTCGTTTGCGGGGGACAGGATGCGGCGGGCGCCCGCCACACGGCCCAGGGTGTGCAGCACCACAACCTCGTGATTCACACCCTCACCTGCAGGAGAGCGGGGCGCCGGTCAGCAAGCGACGCAAGATGAGGAGGCACGTGCATGAGCAGACAGAGGGTGCAAGCAGCGCAGCGAACACACTGCATTGCAAAGCTGCTGCGCACCCGGCATGCCCACGGGACCTCCCAAGAAGTGCTTGAGCACCACCCCGCCCTCCTGGCCCCCGCCGCCGCCGCCGCCGCGGCGAGCCAGCCGGCCCCGGCTGCCCGCGGCGCGGCCGCCGCCGCCGTGGCTCGCATCCGCGGCGGCCGCCGCCGCGGCGCCGCGCTCCTGCGCTGCCGGCGCCTCGCCTGCCGGCGCGCCGGCGGCCAGCAGGCTGTCTGTGGCAGGCGGAGTGGGCATCGGCTGTGTAAGGATCACGCCCCGAGCGCCGTCCCTGCACACAGCCAGCAGGCGCCGGCGAGGAGTCGGGTGCGGCAGCGGCTGCTGCGCATAGGGCTGCCCCTGGCTGCAGGGCACTGCCCAGCCTGCTGCCCTCACACGCGCGCGCCCCACCTGCCATGCTGGGTGAGCAGCACCACGCTGCGCCGGAAGATGGAATGGTCCAAACCGTCTGAGGCCACCAGCAGCACGCCTGCAGCAGGACGCCGCGCCAATGCGTGTGGGGGGCGGGGTGGAGTGGGCGCGGGGGTGGAGGCGGGGGTAGACAAAGGCGGCGGCGGCGGGGATCCGGGGTGCGTCCACGAGGCAAGGGGCAGCGTGCGAGCGTGGCACGGGCTGCCCGCGGGCTCAGGCAGGCAGGCAGGTGCATGCGGTGCCGCCCGATCCCCCACCTGGTCCGATCCCCGCCACCGGCGCGCCGTGCCGCACCAGTGCCAGCCCCAGCCTACCGCCGCCGTCCACCCTGACGATGATGCGCAGGCCGCGGGCGTGCATGGTGGCCAGCAGGCTGCACAGCATGAGCAGGGCCAGGCCCGGCAGCCAGTGGCTGCGGCTGGCCAGCAGCAGCAGCACCAGCAGCGCCAGGTGCGGCCAGGGCGGGCCTGCGCCAGAGAGGGGTGTGGGGGGCGGGCGAGGACCCGGGCGTGGGTGTGGTGGGGCAGGCGCACAGGCGACGCACGGCACAGTGGCGCGTGCAGCTGGTCCTGCGCGCCGCAATTGCACGACAGAAGCACAGCGCATGCCTGGCGACGGTAAAAAGAGTGGCTGCCGCGTGGCGCAAGCCCCGCTGTGACGCACCCGACAGCCCGAATGCCAGCAGGCAGATGCAGATGGCGCCGCCCAGGCCTCGTAGCGCCTGCAGCACCACCGTGCCACTGCGCGCCTGGGGCGGCGGCACCGAGAAGAAGGCGCGGCACACGGAGCAGCGGAATGCTCGCTCTGCGAGGGAGGAGTGCAGGGGCAGGGGGCGCGGCAGGCGGCTTTCGGAAGGCAGCTAGCAAGTGCCCAGCAAGCGCCCAGCAAGTGCCCAGCACCATGCAGCTCCGCAGGAGCATGTGCTGCAGCAGCGGCGATGCACCGGCCCAATCGGCACGAGGCGCGGGGGAGAAGAGTGTGCGGTGTGTGTAGGAACCAGCCCAGGAGGTGGGGTTGCTCACCGTCCATCGCGTCCCGCTTCTGCACATTCTCCTGCCACCGGCGCAGGCACTTGAGGTGCACGTGCTTCTGGGTGCCTGCTTGTTGAGGGGCGGGATTGGTCAGGGGTCGGGCGCTTGGCTGGCGCAGGGCAAGGCGCTGGCGGGGCGCCGCCGCTGCCGGCCGGGCAGTGCTGGCACCTGCTGCACCTCTGACCGGCAACCGACCCCGACACGCCCCGCGCGTGTGTTGGGACGCAGGAATACCCGCTCACCCGCGCATTTGCAAGGGGACAGCAGGTTAGCCTCAGACTCGTGCTCCCAGCACACACGGCACTGCGCCCCCCGCTCCTCCTCCTCGTCATCCACCTCCTGGAGCAGGACGCCCTTAGGGGGAGTCTCTGGCGACATGGCAAGCAGCGCCCAAACCCCAGAGGAGTGGAAGTGTCGGGCCAGGCGGCGGCACGATTGTGCAGGTGTTCTGTGATCAAAAGCGCGTCTGAATTGGTGATCGCCGTCCCGCCAGAGTCACCTGTGTCGGCGTGCCTTCTTCCGCTTCCCGCCGATGCAGCGCCCTGCCGTCTTTGCTCGTCTATTCACGCAATCCTGTGTTGTTGCGTGCAACAACCTGGGCTGCCCTGAATCGCAGAACAAACCCCCAGCAACTTGCCCACCTCCTGTCGGACCGCCAGGCCTCTAGACCATTGATTATAGCTCTACCAGCAGCTTTACATTCATGACAGCGTCCGAGGCAGCCTCTGGTGCCGCGGCGCAGGGCGACAGCCCACGCCCTCTCGCCTCCACACCTCCTCGCACCAGCTGCTGCTCGCCCAGCGCCGCCTTGGCCCCAAGTGAGTAGCGGCTCGCGCGCAGCTGCCCCTGCACACCTCCGCCTGGCGCCGCCTGTCGTTGACCGACCGCCTGCCACGAGCCAGCAATACAGACAAAAGTCTGCCTGTGCCGAAGCTGGCGCGCTGGCTGCGGACATCTTATTCCGCAGGCCCTGAGACTGCTGTCAAGCGGCTGATCGCCACCATTGACAGCATGCAGCAGCAGCAGGCGCATGCCGAGGCGCGGCGTCTAGGCGCCGAGCAGACCGCGAGCGCCGCCGCAGCTGAGGCGCACTCACTGCAGGTGCTGCTGCATGCCGAGCTGCGGCAGCTGGAAGAGATGGACGACCGGCAGCAGGCAGCCCACGCAGCCCTGGATGCAGGACTGCTGCAGCAGGCGCAGCGTAGCGAGCAGCTCAGGTGGGTGCCTGGGAATATGGGTGCGTCACTACCTGCCCTGATGGCGCGAGCAGCATCGCTCGCCTATGAGGCAGCCTGAGCGCTGTGCAGCCTGCTCCCAGCCTCCTGCACACAGACGCTGCCCGCTGCCCGGCTACCGTGGCGTGCAGGCAGGTGCAGGCGCGCGTGGCGGCGCTGCGTGCCGAATCGGCGGCCAGCAACGGCAATGGCTCTCCTGAGGAAGAGCACGAGCATGAGCGGCAGTTGCAGCAGAAGCATGCGCTGGCAGCGGAGCTGCAGCATCGGCTGCGGCTGGCGGGGGTGGAAGAAAGCACGATAGCGCAGCTCTGCTCAGACGCTGCGGCACATTCTGCAGTGGCTGGTGGCCAGGCGGCAGCAGCGCAGCAGCAGCAGCAACAACCAGACGGCGGCGTGGCAGGTGAGGTGGCGGGCAGCACCCAGGGATTGCGTGGGCAGGCTGAAAGGGCTTTCGGCTTGCAGGCGCCTTTGTCGTGGGCGCGGTGGGGTGGGAGGCTGCATGGGGCAAGGGTGTTGCATGTGGGCGTCGCCCCACCTGGCGACACCTGTCGGGCTATAGCTCCACCCGCCGTCTTTGCCCTGGTGGTGCCTTGCAGGCCTGCGGAAAGCACCCTGGCTGGGCGGTGGGGGCCTGCTGAGCAGCTTCCGGCGGCGAACGACTGCCACCTGAGTAGCGCGTGCAGCCATTCCGCTACAGCTCGTTCAACTGGATGCCAGGCCTGGCGCACTTGATGATTATTACATCGGCACGTGTCAGTGTTTCTTATCAATGCTTAGACAGACTGTTTTGGCTCTCGCAGTACATACTCTGCTAACCGCTAGGAAAATAGAACAATTGATGTGACGATCGTGATCAGAACACGCTGGTATGGAGAGGTGATGTTTAGGCTGTGTGTATTTGAAGGGGAATGGGAGCAAGAGGATGGTTGGCATTAACTGTTGGGGGATGGCTGGCATGGGCTAGCAACACACTCGTAGACACTCAAAGCTTTTAGGCTTTAGTAGGGCTGGAAATGTGCCAGAACAGAAGCTGCCACAGGCATGCTAATGTTCATTGGCTGCCAGGAAGGCAGAAGAGAGAGTGGAAAGGATTTGCGGAAGTGCTTAGGGAAGTGGGATGGGGCAGCTCGATGTCAAGAAAGGGTTTTCAAAATGGAAGCCTCAAGCCCGGTGGGCAGGCAACATGTTTTTGGAATGTGTGTAGAGGATTTTGAAATGCTGGTTGAAGCTTAGGAAGGAGCCAGCAGGGCGTCAAAACGGCCCGGGTTCCGCCCCATCGCTGCCATCAGGCTGCGGGCGGGTGGCGGACGGGGCATGGCGGTGGGTGTAGGCGTGCGTGTGGGCGTGGTGCTGCCAGTGGCCGCCCCGCAGGTCGCTGGGCCTCACCAGGATGTTGATGCTGCTGGTCAGGCCGGTGGTGTCGAAGAGGTGCATGCCCACTGGGTTGGAGGAGAGGGCCGGTGCCAGGGCTGCGCTGGAGGGCGGGAGATCGAAGGGTGGCGGCGGAGCGGCGGCCGAGGGGAGCGGGGGTGGAGGCGGCAGCCGGGCGTCCGCCGCCAGCCAGGCCGCGGATGGGTGGGACGGCCCGGAGGAGGCGGCAGGTGCCAGGGTGAGCTGCTGGGGGTGCAGGGCTGAGGAGCCGGCGCGGGGCATGATGGCGGTGAGCGCAGACGAGTCGCCCGAAGGGATGGAGGAGAGGGCGGCGGCGGCCGGAGACAGGCCGCTGGTGGGCGTGCCCGCCTGCGGCAGCGGCGCCAGCGCCGCCCCCCAGCCGCTGCGAGCGCTTGCGCTGCGCGCCAGCCACGCCGCCGCCGCGCTCCCCTCCACCCGCGCCCGTTTGGTCGCGGGCTCGCCCTGCCGCGCCTCGCCGCGCTCGCGCTGGCTGGCCGGCGGCAGCCCCGGCTGGTGCGCGGCGGCGGCGGCGGGGCCGGGGATGGCGGAGACGCTGCGCGGGGTGCTGCCGGCGGTCTTCAGCGGGATGCCCAGCTCCTGGCTGATGCTGGCCATCTCATCCTCGCTGGGCACCTCCCCTTCCGGGTCGGAGCCGTCGAGCTGCAAGGAGGGGCAGCATGAGCACAGCGTGAGGCACAGCGTGAGCACAGCGTGAGGCACAGCGTGAGCACAGCGTGAGCACAGCGCGAGCCGCTGGAGCCTGCTGTTGCAGGCCTGGGGCGGCCCATGCTGAGTGCAGCCACCTGGGCTGGCCACCAAGGGTTGAACAGCTGGCAAGGCCCCAGCACGGGAGACCAAGAGGCACACTTCCGCCGCCAGGCCTGCCACCTCACCTCGGGATGCTCCAGCAGCTGCAGGGCCTGGCGCACGAGGTGTGGGGAGGGGCTCGGGTCGCTGCCGCCCTCTACCATCACGGAGAGGAGCGGCAGGTCGGCAGGCACTGGAAGATGCTGCTCCTCCTCTGTGGCCTGGGGCGGTGCAGGAAGTGGTGGCAGCGGAACCTGCGCCACATGCTGCCAAGGCTGCTGCTGCTGCTGTTGCTGCTGCCAGCTTGGCTGGTGCTGCCAGGGCGTCGAGTGCACCCGCACCGCCACCTCCACCACCGTCCCCTGCTGCTGGTGTTGCTGGAGCTGGTGCTGGTGCTGGTGCTGCTGGCGCAGCGGCTGCCAGCCTGGGCCTGCCAGCCGGCGTGGCTCCGCGTCGGGCAGCGGCAGCGGCAGCGGCAGCGGCAGCGGCGGCGGCGGGGGCGCCGGCATGGGGAGCAGCTGCGCCAGCTGGGGCAGGCCCGGCAGTGCCACAGAGTCCTGCTGCTCCAGGGCGGCGGCCTCGGGGCCGGGCGCCTGCCGCCGCTGCTGCCGCGGGGGCTGCTTCTGCTGCCCGGGCGAGCGCTGGGCGGTGGGAGAAGTGTATGAGCGAGTTGGCGCGGCGCCCTGCGCTGATGCCGAGGCGCTGAGCGCCTCGCTGCGAGCCGGCAGAGGGGCGGAGGCGCGGCTACGCTTCGGCCTCGCTGCCGCTGCCGCTGGCTGCTGCTGCTGCTGCGGAGGAGGAGGAGGAGGAGTCTGCTGGATTGGCGCAGGCGCCAGCAGCGGGGCTGGCTGCTCCTGTGCCTCCTCCTGCGCCTCCTGCTGCTGCTGCTGCTGTTGCTGCTGTTCCCGACGCCCGGACTGTTCTGACGCCGGCTGCTGCTTGACTGGCGCATCCTGCTTTGCCCGCCGGTGGCTGGAGGCCTGGCCCCGCTCGTGGCGGCGCGCCAGGCGGTTGCGCTGGTGCCGGTCCAGGCTGTCTCGGCAGCTGTGCCTGCCCTCATCAAACGCATCCAGGGTGTGGATCTTGCCGCACTGCAGGTGGAGGGGGAGGGCAGGCCGGCTGGGGGGACAGTAAGGGGGGCCAGAGACAGCGGGCGTGGTGTGTGGGCGCGGCGGCCTGGCTGGCGTCGGAGGTACATGTGGCAGCTGCGAGGCTCCTTGCCTGCTGGCAGAAGCGGCACAGCTTGCCGTCGATGCGGAAGGTGTCGCAGGTTTTGTGGAGGACGCAGATGCGGTACTTCTGAAGGTACAGGTGCAGCGCAGAAGGTACAGGGGTGAGGACATGCGCGCGGGCTGGCTTCCTCGCATGCCAACACATGAAGGTCCTCACAGCGCTGGCTGTGGCAGGTATCAGGCGCCGCGCTGCGGCGCAGTCTGGCGCAGGGTCGGCAGCCCGCCTGGCAGCGCCGCCCTGCCCTGCTCACCTCGCTGTACCCCGGGTCTAGCGGCTCTTTACAGCCCGGCACGCGGCATGTGCGGGTCGGCGCAGACCCCTGTTGGGCCTGGCTGCCGCCGCTGGAGTGCTTGGGGGTCTTCAGTCTGGGATGGGAGCAGCTGCTGGCGCGGCCAGCAGGCATACCCGCAGGGGCGGAGCGAGCTGTCGGAGGCGACGGTGGCACGGGCTCCTGCACATGCCAGGGCGGACACACAGGGTCAGTTACCCTCATTGTGCATGTGCATGAAGCGCCAGGAGTGGCGGTCACGCCATTCCCGGTGGCCGCGGGCAGCGCCGGTGGCGGCATGGCCCATCCGCCGCCGACGGCGCAGCATGGCGGGGAAGCTGGCACCGTTGTACTGGGGGCAAAGAAGCAATTGTGCTGCTGTCCACACACTTCTGCGGCATGCTGCGGCATGCAGGGAGGCGGCTAACCCTCGCCAGGCCCGCCAGGAGGGCAAGCGCAGCAACCGGGGGTGCGCACCTGTTGTGCAGGAGGGCGGGCAATGCCCAGAGAGAAGCGGTAAATAGATCGAAAACGCCTTCTCCGCCTTTCTTAGGCGGCGGCTTGACGTATAATCAAATCGTCACGCCTCCCGCGTCCCAGCTCCCAGCTACCACCAACCCCCTACGCTTGCCATGACGAGAATCAGCGTACCGCCTCACTGAGCCATTCGCGCTGAATCTCTTGAACATGCCAGAGATGCTGCAGCACTGCGGGATCGGCCCTGGGAGCGCTCTGGGTCCGACTTGCTCTCGTACGGGGCCGCGGGCCGCGGGGTTTGCGAACGTGAAATCCGCTGCATGCAAGCCCTAAATGCATTCCAAACAGCATGTTTCGCCTCCAATGACCAATTGGGGCAGCCCCTGGCTGCGGAAGCCCGCTGCCAAGGATATGCCTTTTCAGTGCCCCGCCGCCACCACTGGCAGGGCCTGCTGCCGCTGCATCGCTGCACTCAAGCAGCGCATCCATGCAGCCCAGGTGGTGATAATTATTGGATATTACATGCAAATCGTGGCGGCACAATGCAGGAGTAACCAGGTTGAATTTAGCAACGGGTTGGGCCGGCTACGTCAGCTGAGCGCCCCGCGTGGCAAGATCATCTCCTTGAAGATGATCCAGGCAAAGCTAAACTGCTGAAAGGGACATGCAAATGCTGGCGCTAGCAGAAAACAGAGATATGATTGATTCTAGGCGATGCAATGAATATGAAGCAAGTCGGGCCATGTGCGCACTTGCGCCAGGTGTAGCAACGGTATGCATGTGGCATGTGCAACAGTAGAGAAGGTAGGAGACTTGGCGGGCACGCTGGCAGGTCCAGGGCAAATACACAAGATGAGGGCTTCTGTTGAGTTTGACAGGATGGGGGAAAACACGGTGGGGGGACGCCCCCGGGGCCCGCGTTCCCCGCCCCGTTCCCGGCGCCGCGCCGCGCCGACTCCCCTCCTGCGCGCACTCAGGGGCCTTTGGGCGGCGTTCCCCGAGCGCCCATCGCGCCGCGCCATCCCCCGCCCCCCCCGCTGCAGCGTCCCCGCCTGCCCGCGCGACTTGTGCGCTTCGTTGATGGCGTGGGGGGCCTACTGGAACGGCCCGGGGGGCCTCTGTGCGCGCGGCAACCGTCCAGCCTGGCGCGCAACTGACACACCCTCCCGGCCGCAATCCTCCCCCCATTCGTCAAGCTCAGATGCGAATCATGACGCATGCGAAGAGATTTCAGGGCAGACTGGAGATTTCAGGGCAGACTGGAGTAGGCGGCCAACCGCAGCTGCACCTTGGGCATTGACTTACCGAAAACGGAGCCATTAACGTTCGCCTGCAGCGACAAAAGCTAGAGAGGAACTCATGAAGCGTGTACCAAAGCGGGGAAATTGCAGCAGTGCAAGCCCTGAGCACCTTGATTGCCACCTGCCACCCACGTGCAATGCAGAAAGCAACATTTGCATTTTGCTGCCCAGGCCAGCCCATGCATTTTCTGGGCCTGCCCTCCCAGGGCCTCATTCAGTAGGGTGTCAGGGTCCCCAAACCGGGATGGCATGCAAATCAGCATTGGCAGCAGTGCCCTGCACCACCTCCTGGGTCTGCCCGTCAGCGTGTTCTGCTGTGCCTGACAAAACCACAGCATTGCTGCCCAGGCCAGCCCATGCATTTTCTGGGCCTGCCCTCCCAGGGCCTCATTCAGTAGGGTGTCAGGGTCCCCAAACCGGGATGGCATGCAAATCAGCATTGGCAGCAGTGCCCTGCACCACCTCCTGGGTCTGCCCTGCCGTCAGCGTGTTCTGCTGTGCCTGACAAAACCACAGCATTGCTGCCCAGGCCAGCCCATGCATTTTCTGGGCCTGCCCTCCCAGGGCCTCATTCAGTAGGGTGTCAGGGTCCCCAAACCGGGATGGCATGCAAATCAGCATTGGCAGCAGTGCCCTGCACCACCTCCTGGGTCTGCCCTGCCGTCAGCGTGTTCTGCTGTGCCTGACAAAACCACAGCATTGCTGCCCAGGCCAGCCCATGCATTTTCTGGGCCTGCTGAGTGCGA